GTTAACTGACACGAACGAGTGGACGCAACCTGAATATTTGAAAAGGGTAACGTGCATTATGATAATTCGTGCCGGGCACCAAAATGATACAATTATGACAGCTGCTAAATGTTCTTCGAGCACCTTGAAAAACAATAAGACATGAAAAAAATAGGCTATCCATAAGGACACCGTAAAGGCCACGCGGGCCAGATTCCGAAGACGGATCGAGGCCGTGGTAGATGTTGGGGATGGCGTCTTTTGATTATTATAACCAGTATGCCACTTTTCTAGTTTGTCAATAAATAGATTTTTGATTTGAATATTAAATTTGTTTCAAATGAAACAGAGAAATTTAGCTCGTACACTTTGTATGAATATTAACAATATTATTTTTAAACAGTTCGCCTTCTTATGCAATCATCCCAAACATCAAAGTGAAGATATATGGGAGTATATAATGAATATATATAGGAGTATGTAAGGAATATATATAGGACTTTATAAGGAATATGTATAGGAGTATATATGGAATATATATAGGAGTATGTAAGGAATATATATATAGGATTTTATAAGGAATATGTATAGGGTATATATGGAATATATATAGGAGTACATAAAGAATATATATATATATATATATATATATATAAGACTTGATAAGGAATATCTATAGGGTATATATGGAATATATATAGGAGCACGTAAGGAATATATATAGGACTTTATAAGGAATATGTATAGGAGCATATATGGAATATATATAGAAGTATGTAAGAAATATATATATATATATATGAAGAAATTTTCTTCATTCTGTCGGATTTATATCCATTTATATTTGCTAACATATATATATATATATATAGGACTTTAAGGAATATGTATAGGAGTATGTAAGGAATTTATATAGGAGTACAAATGGAATATATATATATATAGGACTTGATAAGGGATATCTATAGGGGTATATATTGAATATATATATAGGAGTATGTAAGGAATATATATAGGACTTTATAAGGTATATGTATAGGAGTATATAAGGTTATATATAGAAGTATGTAAGGAATATATATAGGAGTATATAAGGAAACATTAGGCATTCATTGACCAATATTTCTGTTAAAACATTCTTTCAGGATAAATAGGTTTGTCAAGTCTGTTATTGCTTTTTCTGTTATTGATGCGTGCTTCCTTTCTAACATTTTTTGAGCTATTCCAAAATGTCACCATTATCATTATGTCACTATTTTCTCTTTTAGTGACGTGTGCTATCCATTTTAATAGTTTTAGTCTCTGAAAGTCCTGAAGTGATGTGGTTCCTGTTATTTGGTACAGTTTTTTTGCATGTGCATTATTAGCGCTACTCCACAAGGTTAGAAGAAGGATGCCCTCCAAGACCTACTTTCTTGCGATTTGGGCTTTAAGGCTGTTTTTTTTTTATTTAAAAATTACCTGGTTTGTTTAATATTAGCTATGTTATGTTTTGTCTATTTCTCTGAGTAGTAGTAGTCATAGTAGAGTTCTCCGTGTCCGGAATAGCAACCGGGTTTGCTAGGGATAGCCACCCCATATTCGCCAGTGGATCTCTATTTATACTTCTTTATATTTGTTCTTTATAATTCACATACGATATTACAATCTGATTAATTAAATAAATGATTCTCCATGAATACGGCTATAGGGGGTTAAAGTCGTCTAGATAAACAACTTGAAAAAAAAACTGTTAAATAAATCGAATAAGTCTAATTGTTTAAAATATTGATGCAATCTCAGCACAGTATTTTGACAATTACACCTCATTGAACAATCGGATCACAATAATTGGATTAGTGTTACTAATTTATCGAGCGATAATTAGGGTAAATAAAAATTCTTATTGAATGGGGATCTAGCAGAATAATAGGCGAAGTATCTTATTTAAGTTATTAGTTGTTATTCTTAGGTTTCCTTTAAATTTATTATTCACTAACATAATTTTCAGCAATGTGTGTACGTTCATTGATTCCAGTTAGTTAACTGTTCTATTCAAATTGTTGTCTTACTTTGCACATTGTCAATTCAGTAAACGGAAGTCAAACCAACATTTCTAGATAAGATGAAAAAACATGTTAAATTATATCTCCGTGAAACGTGTACGGCGGTTATAGGCTTAGAAATTGGGATTTCTGCTTTGAGTTCAAATTCTCTCAAATACCCTTGTAAACGTATAAAACCATCTCTTCTCTCCCAGGTATGGGTAAAATAACATTGTAGACCACTCTCTAACCAGTCTAGAAGTAGTTAAACTCATTATCCAAATCAAGTTGGAAGTGGGGGTGGCAACTCCACCCCGTAGAAACATACATGTCATCGCAGCTAGCGTAGACACCATTGTTTTAAACCTATAAGCTCGCAGTGGCATTTACATGGTTGATAGAATTATATTACTGATAAAAGTATCATCAAAAGCGTGTGATGTGTGCAATAAGAATTAAAATACTCGTCCCAATAAAATCGCCGGCTAGGGATAATTACTCATGTTAATACAGGTTGCCCAGTAAAAAAAAAAAAACTCAAAAAAAAAAAAAGAAACTTATTCTCACTGTTTTATCTTTCAGGAATAATTGACCTTGAATAACCTTGAATAAATTTCTTGAATATTCATGAACTTGAATACTCATTCGACTCTCGCTTAATTACTTAACTCTGATTGGCTCTTTTATGATTTATTAATTGCTGCTCGGTCTTGGGAGTCGGCAAGTAAAGGTTATTTGCCGACAACTTTCTTCTTTCGCTCTACCCTTCCCGTGTGGCTGAACAGCTCACTGATTCTGAGTGTCAAGATATCGTACTTTTCAAAGAACGTCCGACGTGGGGATTGATGGAATATGCGGAAATTCCACCTGGATTTTTCAGTTACATCTATCGACATCAATTTCCAACGGTTGTCTCACGACTCTCTGAATTTACCGTATTTTTACAGGGCACCATGTATATCTGAAGATTTCTAAAAACTTTCTCAAGTTTAATTTCTTTCTGAATTTATTTCTCATTAGAGCATGACATAGCAGTTTAAATAAATTGGAAGGTCAGTCGACTGTACATCAATCAATATCGATTTCATTTAATATTTTATACAGATTTTCATTTGTGCTCGACGACGTCTGGCGCTGAATTACGACGTAACAAATGACTTTCAAAAAAAAAATGAGAAGAAATATGTTTTCGGAGAATGTTTAATGTGTACAAAAATAAAAGAAATAAATCAAACATTTAATCAATTTGTTCAACTTGAGATCACAATTCAGCGGATCGATTTACTTGATTCAGTAATTGATTATGGGATAGATTTTATCAAGTTTTATATATATATATATATATATATATATATATATATATATATATATATATAAATAAAAAAAAAAATGTAAACTGGAAATATATTTTAGGAAACGTATGAAAAATTATATTTGTTCCAACCAAGTAATGTTGATTTCAAATAAATATTAATAAGCGATCAATATTTGATCGCCAAGCAAAAAGGTGTGGTTCATTTTTTTGTGCACACTTTTATCGCTAATTGAAACTTTGAAAATCATTAAGTTGAAAAGAAATTTTTCTTTTTTCTCTTTGTAATAGTTAAATGACATCTTTTGTAGCTCGTATGGTTTTTTTTTTATTTCGTCTTAAATAACTATTACTATAGAGAATAGTTTTTTAGCAAACCAACACACCGAATGATTTAAATCTAGAAGAAACAACATGAAAGCTCAGGAAGAAACAGACAGAGTGTATTTTGAATTAACTCCTTAATTGCCATCATCCTAGTTCCGGACCGTTGAGCATTAATCAATTATAGTTAGAAATGTATAATTATTACTAGGAGTTTATGGACCTATAATTAATACCAGATTTCTTTAGAAAACTATAATCAAAACTGGCTTTTTTGTATTTTAATTTTTATAATTAATAACTGATTTTAACATGGGTGTTAATAGGTTACATTATTGCTATTACTTAGATCGTATATGCCTAGTGAAACAATATTTATCGACAGAAGAACCTAAATTATATTTTGTATTTATGCTTTATTTGTATAGGGTACCTACCAAATATGAAATGACAGTAAATACTAGCATTAGTGGAAGCGAGTGCAAGTCAATCTTTGGACTACAAAGGCACGCAGAGATTCGCAAAGAAAAAAAAGAAAAAAAAAAAAGAAGTGTAGGAACCCCAAACTATGTGTGTCTCATGTCACCCAACTTTATGCCTGATTTAGCGGCCATAATGTGTATACCTATATTATTTTCTGATCGAAGAATTTTTTTTTTTAACAATCAATAAATTTACTGAAACAAAACAAGTTCAGTTGACCACTGATGACAATTCCAGAACAATGTAACTATAAACAATTTTTTTCTATCCTCTGCCAGCAGCAATGACGGAGAAAGCATTACCTCGGACAATGGCCAGTGAGACACGCTGCAAGAGGCACTCCGTTTCACGAGGCTCGTCCTTTAATCGAGAGGCAATCGCGCCAATCCTCCGAAGGAACGCCATCGAGTGAGGGCCAGTAACCACTGAAGACTTCACCGCCACAGGAGTAAAAAAAAAAAAACTATCAACAAGAGAAGAATATTTAACTATTTTTTTCATCTCTGCGTCCCGGGCGACGGATCCTGGCTCAACCGCGGAACTGATCAAATTACCGGTCGAAAATGTATCCGCACAGGTCGCATCCCAAATCAACGACTTCCCCATTTTAAAAGGGAAAATGGTAATGCCATCCGGCCGCTTTCCATCACCGCGGTCGAGGTATACGGGTTTGATTTGGGAAGGGAACCCAGCTGCATCTAAACCTCTTTTGATGATGTCGTTAATGGTGGCATGCCGTGGAAAGCGGCCGGAACGACGACGACAGGAGAGAGGACGCAAACCAAACTCATCGATGGAGGCTCCACATCTGCAACTGTGACACTCACATAATTTGAGTCCAAGACGGATCCCGACTCCGACTCGAGTGCACTCATCATCTAGAAGGGTACCGGTAGATGAAGAGGGCACTGCGTTGAGCCAGGCGCCACTAATCTGTTGTGAAGCAGATAGTAGACAGTCGAGGCGATGCTGATCCAGAGAGAGAGCCTCAAATTAATAAAATTGGCCTCGCATTTTATTTTCTCCCAGCTTTTTTGTTTTGATGTGTCTGGTGGGAGAGAAAGTAATTCTTGGGCCCAGACGCTGCAAGCGTGTTCGAAAGAACTACCCGAGAAACACTGAGACGATCCACCGAGTATCTCATCAATTAATTCGTGACTGGACGAAAGTGAAGAAAGATATACTACCGCTGATCAAAGGCCCAGTCCTCTGAAACTCAAAGGGAGCTTTGCCTGCCTCCAACCTGTGTCGTCAAAATTGATGTTGCAAATTAGCTCTGCACATCTCTTAACTGTGATATATATCTCATTTAAGAAATCCTGTTCGAGGTAGCAAGGGGCACTTCGGAGAGTGTAGAGGAAACTCGGTAGCGAAAAACTGTTCTTCAAGAGGAAGAGGGATGGGTGTGCATCAATTAGTTGCAATTTCTCAGTCGTTCTTGTTAGAATGACATGCTTAGTATTCAAACACTCTCGAATGGTCATTGGAAAGACTGGAGAACCAAGTATGTGTAATTCTTCCTTAGGTGTTATTTTTATATCCTCAAGGATGAGCCTGATATCCCGGATAGCACTCTCGAAATCATCTGCACTATAATTCAAGTTTATTATCTCTGACTTGGACGAGTTAATCTCAAGTCCAAGCAGAGATAAAGCAGGAATAACTCGTCGGAGCTCAGCAGCTACGGCCTCGATGGATCCTCCCAACGTCGCATCGTCAAGATACCATATATTGAAAGGAGAAGCGATGGACCGAGCTACTCCATCAATAGACATGGCAAATAGTAGTGGACCAAGTGGATCACCTTGCTGGATTCCAGTAGCAGAAGAGATAATATTGTCGGAGGCGATCAACATACTTGGATGACTATACGAAAGATGAGCCAGTTTAAATATGGAAGCAAGTCGTTGATGGCAAACATCCAGTGTATGATCTCTTCTGATGCTATTGAAAGCGTTTTTCATATCCAATTTTAATAAGATGTGGGGCGAAGCAGATTATGTATTCTCGAAAAATGATCTTGTGGCATGAACCGCGGCTTCACATCCGCCCTGTATGCCTACCCCGAGCTGGACAGGTCGCAATTCATGCCCTATCTCCTTCACATCAACTCTACAAGCAATTTTTGCCGCGAGATGACGAAAAATGTTTCCAACAGCGATAGGGCGGATTCCTCCGTCTTCTTTTTAAAAGCCGTCAAGATGGCTGAAAATATTAAGTCGCGAGCATGTTGGGGTATCTCAGCTCGGAGAAGGGTATTAATAATAGTTGTTATGGATGTTTTCAAATGTTCCCCGTCTTCGGCAGTGTGGGCAGAAATTAAGTCCTTGATGTGACCAGTTCGAAGGCCGTTTACACCTCCACTACTGCTTCCCGAGAGAGACTTCAGAGCGGCAACCATTGCTTCCTTTGAGATTTCAATATTTGAATCATTGTTTTCCATCTGGACAAATCTGACATTTGATGGTGGCGCAGGATGTTTTCGACAGAATACTGTGAGAACTTCTGGTGAGGTAGCAAGTATCGTATCGGATGAAGCCAATGCTTTAACTGCAGCTGAGACATCGCCCTCGATCAACTTAGCATTGACGAGGGCACGGAGTCTCTTAGAATCGTCGACTGCAGATGAAGGATGAAATCTATTAGGATTAGAAAGATTAGAAAATTCGGTGGCATTTATTTTAGACGAATTGAATAAAGAAATGTTATTTTTCATAATAGATGAGACAGAGGATGTAGGGTCCTTATTGTAAGGAATGCCGAGCACAAGTGTTGCGAAAGAGAAAAGGTGATCCCAGTTAAGCGAGCTGTTCAAGTTAAATGCCTGGTCTATGGCAGTAGCCAAGGTATCGGCTGCCGAGTTCTAACTAAATATGAAGGCATCATAAGCAAGTCATGTCGATTTAGTCAGTGTTTTAAGAGTTCGAATTCAGTCATTGTCAAGCAAAAAGAATCACTTTTGTTAAAAATCATGAGCTTATTTCGTGATTTTTAATTTCTGAATATGTTCAATGTCACGTGAATGCGATGTTATTTTAAAAAAAAAAAATCTAAATGAGTTTGATATCACGAGAATATGACATCATATAGGCTCTGAGAATTAGTAACATTTTAAATTTGCTGTTCCCAAATCATGAGTGATTTTGATTTGTTTTGTCTAACGATATTGTTTTATTGGATTGTTTTGTCTAACGATAAAAAATACAAACCTTATAATTGCAGACAGTCGACGAGAAAGTGAGAACATATAACGGAACAAATGTCCGTGTCAGATTCAAAGGAATATAAGAAAGTAAGCCGGCCATGATTATAGCTGATATACTGAAAGCTGAATTGGAAGAAATAATTGAATGATTTTGATAACAGAAAAGAAATTGCTATTATTTATAGTCAGATGAATGTTCGTATTCATTATCATAACGTTTCGATTGCTGGATATTCCGCTTTTCTTCAGGTTGCTGTATATCGTTGTAACTTTCAGGGAATGTCAAAATTAATAATTTATTTAATCTGCAGGGTAGAAATGACAATGACGAGAATAAATTTCGCAACTTATCTAGCAATCGATAAAAAGAATGTATAAACATAAAAATGTCTTATATATATATATATATATATATATATATATATATATATATACACCTAGCGAGCCAGACAAACCTACCTAGGTTTCACCTAAACGCCTGACGATCCGTTTAGGTGAAACCTAGGTAGGTTTGTCTGGCTCACTAGGTGTATCTAGGTCTGCTCTACGGTTGTATTGAGCGCTTTTGTTAGTTGTTTATTCGTATCGGGGTTTTTCTTTGGGCTTCAGACCTGCATCTGTGCGATTTTTTGTCGGCAGAAGTTCATGTTTGTAGCTCTTTCTTTTTTTAAAACCTTTTTTTCCCTCGAGATTAATTTGATTAGCAAATCAAAAATTTGAGGGTTTTTCGAAACGAGTCTAGTTATCTATCTATCTATCTATCTATCTATCTATCTATCTATATATATATATATATATATATATATATATATAAGTTGACACTGAAGTCAACACTCAGCAGCAATAGTCTGTTTCATACTCAATCGTCTGGTCATAACGTTTTGATGTTGCCGTTTCGATATCGTTTTTGTTATTAAATATCCTACATTGTGATAAAAGAAGTTCTGGCAAAAATGGTGCAACATGGAATCCGGACACAAATTTACTGCGGATAAACTCGCGATTAAAACACTTTCTAAGCATTTTCGCCTTAGTGATATTTTAATTAGATCAGCTGTGATAGAGTAAGACTTGAAGGATGAATTCATTCTAAAACCTGTAAGGATTGCTAGAAAGAATATATTGGAGAACACCTATGATGTTAAAATAAAAGATTATATGAACACAAATGATGCATTTAAAAAATAATAACACATTAAAGTTATTTAGTTGCTCACCGTAACTAGGCTGACCACAATTTAACCATAAAAATGCTACTCTCCCTATATATGTATGTCGCACAACACACACACACACGCAGACATACACACACACACGCAGACATACACACACACACACACACACACACATATATATATATATATATGAGTGTGTGTGTGTGTGTGTGTGTCTATTTAAACATGTGTGATTGAACAATTTAGACATGTGTTTCTTTATTTTCAATAAAATCCTTTATATAAAATCACGTATAAGTTTTCTTGTTTCATGATTAAAGACAACAAGAAAGGTACTGTGGTTATATTCCTTCATTTTTATTTTTCCCGGGTACTTTCGATATTTTCCAACATCATCATCAGCGTTTTGATGGCTAAGACATTTTATTGTGTTTCTCTCGCCAAATTAAAACAATTATAAACACACACACACGCACACACACACACACACACACACACACACACATATATATATATATATATATATAAAACGAATATATATAACAAATATATATATATATATATATATATATATATATATATCTTATAATTGCTTTAATTTGGCGAGAGAATAGCAAATTAACAAATAGAAAAAAAACATTACTAAGAGCTACAAAGGATTGTCTGATGTGTGCCAACATTTGATATGCAAACTATCGGGAAATAAAAAGCGAGAGAGGCTAAAATCGTTTTATGATATATATATATATATATATATATATATATATATATATATATATATATATATGGATTCGTTATATTCATTTACGCGCAAATGCACTTGGGTAAGATATGAATCCACACCTCTTTCAAGCTATGAGTTAATTACCAAGTCTTGTATATGCCATTCATCGGTCTCGAGAGACCATGGATTTACGCCCAAAGAGTTATACCTCAGATGCTGATGGCGGCGCAGCATCGGTTATGGCTGTAGAGGCCTACACAGGAGTGACAGTCTCGATTGCATCGGATGCATGTGAAGACGATGTCAAAAATATCGCTGTGTTCCTGTTTCCCGTTTTTTGCTGTCGCGGTGAGGTGACGTTTGAGATTCCTCTCCAGGGCGCAGACCTGGGCAGGGCTTTTTGAGCGATTCTTCTCCCTTTTCCACGACATTGATGTTTACCAAAGGAAAGGCAGAGGCCAATATAGCTTGGCAACAAGCATGCCAAAATGAAGTTGGGCATCGGACTGTCTTAGGGACCCAGAGTCCAGAATTGTCGTCACTGTTTACACCCGAAGCCTATCACATGATTGGAAATGGCGGCAAGTTAAGCGGAGGTTTAAAATCAGAGTTTTCCTTCTCTTAAGAATTCTATTCCTAAACCATTTTTTATTGTGCAGCGAAGACGGAAATAAATGCCAAGACAGTCAAATACCAAATGACAAAAAAAGTTTCTGAATCGTTGGCTTCGCGCATCCTACCGGTTTATAAATTAATGCTTTGAAAATAAATATTTAACATTTTTCAACCAATGGTTTGCGTTCCTGTCGATGATAAAACCAAAATCTTCGTGATCTCTTTGAAGTGTATATAAACAAAGTTTCCAGACCAAATAAACAGTAGGTAGATACAACGGCAACAGACAGCAACAAGTCACGACACTACAGTGGCACTTACACTTTCCACATTTTTCCTATTTATTCTCAGACAGACACATGGACGAATTACATTTCATCTCATCTTCACAAACCAGAACTGTAAGAACATTAAAAATATTTCCAAAAATAAAAACGAAATTACGGCCAAAATATTTCGATTTTGACATTAAATGACCCAGAGTAGTGTTGATATGTCGCTAAACAAAAACAACCAACTAGCATTAAAATTCAGCGTTTGTTTGATTCTAATGTCATCAATAGGTTCATATCACCTTTTGCTGACAATTCTGCGTTCTACTTTGTAATTAAAATTCATTTCTACTTTGAACTCGGAAACGCCTTCATCCACTCTTAGCAGGTGCGCCCATTCTGGGATCATGTCGTCGAGTTGGCTCGTATCGATCCTGAACATCTTGTTTCCATCGATCTCGCATTCGTTTGAGATAATGTCTCGCCCCTGTGGTCAGGGGTCAAATTAATTGTGTTTCTTACGCTGCTAGACGTGGCAACAATGGTGGGGTGTGTTATGCAGATGCAAAGAATCTTACGATACGAACGTTATTTTTATCAGGATTTAACTGGATTCTTTCGGCATCAGCTCAGGAGGAAGATCAGAACTGATGGAAAGCGTTTGCTATCAGCAGATTTCAGCGAAAGGTGAGTAAAAGTCGCGAGCTTGGTTTGCGTGAATGGGGCCGGCCTTGATATTTTTTTTTAGTTTCCTATGGGCACAATGGATCCAATTCCTGACGAACCCCTTCTCTGGTTAAGCTAGACACTTTTGTTTACCTAGTTAATGTGAGTGATCGCTGTTCCCGGCCTGCTCCAGGCGTTC